GATGATTTTGCCGAACAGTCACTACGCCAGATGGGTTTTGGAAATTAGCAGTTGATTTTGCAGCCCTTGTGACCAGCAATGCAGTTACCATATTGATGATTTTAGAAACCATTCGTGATGATGTCAGGATTGGCAAAAAGGAAAAATGGCAAGTAATCTTGGTCTACAAGGAAACCCTAGAAGATTACTTGTCATCCAAGTCTCAAAGTATTATATAAACTAGTTGTTTACATGGGAAAAAGGTGAGAGAGAAAAAAAATAGAGAGGAGCTTTACAAGAAATATCTTTCAAGATTTGAATGTCAAAAAATCACTCTCCACGAATTACAAAGAAAATACTTTGAGTTATCATCTTCTCAAGACACCATTGATGATCTGAGTTTAACAAGACTCTTGGGAAGAATTTCTACAGAGCTTAAATTAGTGGACCGTATTCCATACAACTGTGGGAACAGTGGTGAGTGGGTCAACGAGACGGACATCAACAGCACGGATCTCCAAAGGGACTTTGGACGCTGAAGGACGGATCTCCGAGCTCGACAATTCTCTATAGTTTTCAAAAGATTGGATATTACCGCGTGTGGTGTGTAACACACATTGGGTGAGAAGGTTTCTCTTACCGTCTGTTTGATTTGCTGTTGAGATAGTGGATTGGACTCACTGATGGTGGTCCCCCAGACGTAGATACACACTGTATCGAACTGGGTAAACAATATTTTGTGTCTTTTACTTCTGTTTTATTTGATTTCCGCACCAAGACTATTCACTGATCTACTGACTGATCTACGACAGTGCTAAGTCAATCACTCAAACAGAATCATACTGAAATATTATCTAGACACAATATTTAACACAAATACAGAAAATGAAAATCATGATAGTTTGAGGTTTTAGAATTAGGACAAAAATGTTTTAATTCAATAAGAAACCAACATGATTAGTCCAAACAGATAAATCTTGCAAATTATATGGTGGACCCTGTTCAAAACAGTTTTTATATTAAGTCGTTAACGGCGTTGATCAGTACATCATGTTTAATAACGTTCCTTTTGAACTATGTTCATAATATTTATTATATGTTCATAAACTTAAATCGATCTTAATGCACATAAACAATAAACTGCAAGTATATCATGTCTATTTCTATTCACTCTGTAGTAGATACATAAGTTCATTCTGTACGTTTATAAAAATAAGTGCATCATGATTGTAGGTGTGCAGTAAATAGTGCGAATAACTATTAATCACACTATCTTGAATGTTGAAACACGTCGGAATTGTTTAGAACTATGGTTCATCTTTTCCGGCAAATTATGTTTGTGCATCCATGTGCACCATGCATGGTGTGTACAGATGCAAAAACAACGTCGTTTTATTAAAAATGCGCGTCCCACTTAAAAAAAAAATCAGTTTTGATTCCCAGCAACAATATTATGTTGTACATAATTTGAACTATATATCCAGAATCAATGAACTAAAAATTCAGAATCTATGAACTAAAAATACAGAATGAATGAACTAAAATTAAAGAATGAATGAACTAAAAATCCATAATGAATGAACTAACTATCCATAATGAATGAACTAAATATCCAGCATGAATGAAAAAAAAAAAATCAGTTTCGATTTACGTCTAAATATCCAGAATCAATGAACGAACTAAAAATTCAGAATCAATGAACTAAAAATCCAGAATCTATGAACTAAAAATCCAGAATGAATGAACAACATAATGATGTTGAGGGGGATCGAAATTGATTTTTTTTAAGTGTGACGCGCATTTTTAGTCAAAACGACATCGTTTTTGCATCTGTATGCACCTTACATGGTGCACACGGATGCACAGCATAACGAATGTCAAGGTGAATGCTGATCCAATGATCATGATCATTTACAAAATGACCAATTGTTCCAATTAATTAATTATTTAAAGTGGATAGGTATAGTATTAGAGGAATAAGTTGATATTCAGGCTTTTAACTTAGAGATCTAATAATTCTTTGAGAGGGTCCTTTGTTAAGAAGTCTTTACAACTTATCAGTGTCCATTATTTTGAGGTAGATTTCTTACCAAATGTATTTAGATTCGGATATAACTCATATCTTTACGCTAAAAGTTATAATTAGTATAATGAATATTCATTTTTATTTCCTTATACGTGCCTAGCAAGTAGCAATCAATGCTACATTTTGATGTCAGGATATTTGATTCGATCCTCCAAGCCTTTACCCAATATCATATCATTGAGTAAAATTATTTGTGATTTTTTAATTGTTTAAATGTCATTTTCCCCTTTGGAATTAAGGATATTTAATCATTAGTGTAAACTGTAAAGAGAATAGCACTACAAAAAAAAAAAAAAAAAAAAAAATTACGGAAAAAGTGTAGGTAATTAAATTAAGAAATTTGTAGGTATTTAATTACCAAGAGATTGCATTCAAAAAAAAAATTACCAAGAGATTTTTATAGGCAAAACACTGAAATTTATAGGTATTTAAGTTGTAATTATTGATATCTAAATTTGTAGGTATTTTGTTACTTTTTTGTAGTGTAGGAAGCAATTTTAAAATGAAAAACTAATAATTATTTATACTGAAATTAAAATACTAATTACAACAATTTAGTACTAATTATTTAAAAAATCAAATCAATGTTAATTGTTCTCTCTTTCAGGTTATTGCATATTTGCATTGTTATGATGCGGTTTTTTTTTTTTAGGTGAGAAACTTATTTTTGGTGGTTTGTGCTTTGACTTGGGAAACTTTCAATTAAACAAAGGGTACATTTGGAAATCTAGAAAATATTTTTTGAAAAATGATTTTAAAAAATAATTTATTTTTTAAAAAAATATTTTAATTTTTTAGTATTTGACTGAAGGTCAAAAAACAGACTTTTTTTGTTAGATTTAAAGTTAAAAAATTATATATTTTTTTGTTTGGTTCATTTTTCTTGAAAAATAAACATAATTATTTGTTATAATAATAATAATAATAATAATAATAATAATAATAATAATAATAATAATAATAATAATAATAATAATAATAATAATAATAATAATCCGGAAAGTAGCTTGAAGGGAGAGACAACAAAATAAAGAATTCAAAAAATGTATTAGGATTAAAAATTTATGAACATATTTTCTGCCAAATTGAGCATTTTCATTGACCGAAATAAACATTTTTCTTTGATTTTTTTTTGAACATCCAAACACCAAAAAATTTGAAAAATAATTCCTTAAAGTAAAGGGAAAAAATCCAACTTAGGAGGTGGATTCTTTTCTGTCGGTAGCTATAATATGTTACCTAATTATTATTTATTTTCCTTTACAAAAATAAAAATAAAAATACTACCTTATAAATCAAGTACGTACGTTTTTGTTTTTGTTCTTGCCTGTGTAACTCTCTTCCCCTCCAATGCCCCCATCTACTATTGTTAAAATCTATTTTGGCTTTGTTTGGCCTACATAACTTATAAGATAGCTTAAAGTTTAAAAGCAATATCTACTAATTTATTTTGAAACTTATTTACGGTAACATTTTAAAATAAGTTATTGTTTTAAACTTTTCATGTTTTATCATACAGAGGATGCATATAATTTTTTTTGTATAGTAGTTTAAAATAAGTTATAAATTCTAAAATAACCTTTACCAAACATAGCATTTATGGAACCCTCTTTGTTTATTTTTGTGTTCCTTTTATCTGCCACTGTTTGTTTAAGTAGGGCATGTTGAAATTATTATATATATATATATATATATATATATATATATATATATATATATATATATATGTTCTTTGAAAAATTATTCTTGATCAATACATTTTTGAGAATCACATTTTCATAAATTTAATTGAAAAGAAAACACCCTCTTCGAGAATCACATTTCTCTGTTCAACATGTGATCTCAAAGTTAATATGGAAGTCATTGGTGATATGACCAAAAAAGGATTTGGTGTTGATATTTAAGGAAACATGATGAAGATTTTCACTTTCTGTAAATGGACGGGACAATTGAACAGATTAAAGGAATTGTTTAATAAAGAGGCGATGAACCAAAAAGGAGATTGATTTTCAATTCATATCGTATTTTAATGATGAAGGTGACTCTTTTTTCTAATTTTCACCTAATTTAATACAAAGTTATCATTTAATTTATTTATATTTTAGGTGTGGTATTGAGCAATATGGTAATTTGAAATGAACGTTTGAATAAATTTAAGTCAAATTTATGTAGAAATATTTTTTTTTTTAAATTGTATGTAAATGATAAATGTATTTATAGACTTAATTCCATTTTTGGTCCTAGATTTATAAGTGGCAGTTCACTTTTAGTTCCTTTTTATCAGAACATTCCCTTTTGGTCCTAGCATTATTGTGACATGACCAATTTTGGTCCTCTATCAACAAAATTGTTGAAATTTTGTTAAATAGAATGACATTTTGATCTTTTTAATACAAAGTGCTTGACCCGTTATAATTTTTTTTGTTTGTTTGTTTGTTTTTTTTTGTTTTTTTGTTTTTTTGAAAAAATTCATAATTGAAGACAGAAATGTCATTGTATTTAACGAAATTTCAACGATTTTTTGGATAGATGGCCAAAATTAGTCATGTCAAAATAATACTAGGACCAAAAGGGGATGTTCTGTAAAAAAGGATTAAAAGTGAACTGCAACCTATAAATCTAGGACCAAAAATAGAATAAACTCATGTATACATACAGCTATTAGCAAAACATTTATTCTCCAACAACATTCACTATCACCACTCAAAAATAGTATTGAAAGACATTCTTATTGATGATAGATTGATAGTAATGCTCATTTTCTCCTCAATAACTCTTGCATTTATTACTTACCAGCAAGGCAATAAGTAGGTTAAGAGCTTCCAACCACAAGATATTTGCTAAACTTTTTTATAGTTTCAAATAACAATAATGTACATTCATTACACAAATTACATTAAAACCTTCTTTTTTTGAAACAAAGAAGCAGCTTTCATTAACAACGTAAAACATCAACAATACAAGTAGGTGGGATCATATTACACTCCCCGAAGACAGCCTCCGAAACGGTCGCTCGAGCAAGCTCGTGAGCTACACGGTTCGCTGTTCTCTTAGTATGGACCACTTTTACAGAGCCCATATCAGTAGCAATCGATAAGCATTGCTTTACAATAAGACCTACGTAGGAAAGATTAACATTGCAGGAATTAAAAGCATTACAAAAGTTTAAACAGTCCGATTCCAAAAACCAGTTTGCCTGGCCTTGCGTCTTCATCCATGAGAGTGCCTCTTTGGCAGCAAGAACCTCAGCTAGAAACGGATCATCAATCCCCTCCAACCAGCCACTCTTCGCAGCAATGAAAGTGCCACCATGGTCACGTACTACCGCCCCAAAACTGGCGCCGGTGTCGAAAGTAGCCGCGTTAACATTACACTTCATGGCTCCGTGTGGAGGTGGTGTCCATCTCTCGGGTTCAGCAGTGCGGCAAGAAGGACGTTGCACCGGAGCGTAAGTTGCCATCCAGGTTGTCTGGGAGTGCAAAATACGCTTGTAGGCCTCCTCCACGGACACAGCACTGTCATGCCAAACAATTTCGTTCCGGATACACCAGGTGGTCCAGAAAATGGTCGCTAGCTTCACAGCCTCGATCGTACTTGAGGTACCTATTGTTTCGTCCATGAAATCAGACAGCTCCTCCCTTGTAACACGTCATTGGTCCCCCACGCACGACTTGCGATCAGACACTCACATAGCAGATGTTCCATTGTCTCTGTTGTATGACCGCAAATCGGGCAGCCACCACCTATCCATTCATTTTTCCGGTGTAGATTCTCTCGTACGGGTAGTATGTTTCTCACGCAACGCCACAAAATTTTTTTAACTTTAGGTGGGATTGGTAACCCCCATAATTTGTTCCACGAGCGGAAGTCAGTCAGCTCCGTGGCTTCAGGTTCGGCATGCATCAGTAAATCATATCCGTGTCGCACCGTGTACCTTCCCTGAATGTCCCCCAGCCACCGCCAATTGTCGCTAACATGGGTGTTGATCGGTGTTGAGAGAATACGTCTTACGTCCACATCCAGAAATATGTCGCGAACAATATCCACATCCCATCGTCCTTGAGCGTCAAAGAGGCCCCTAACTCTAGCCTCCCAGAGGTGTTCTGCGCATGGTGTGTGTAGCGGTTCATTATTAGTTCCGGCCAACCAATTCCAGCCCCAGATTTTCGTGTCCAGGCCATTTCCGATACGTCGCGCAATGCCCAACTTTAGCACTTGTTGGCCAGCCATGATGCTGCGCCATATATAACTCGGGTTTCTGCCTATTTGTGCACTCATAAAGTCAGTGGTGGGATAGTACTTTGCCTTTAGTATGCGGCTAGTCAAAGAATCTGGATAAATGAACAACCGCCAACCTTGTTTAGCCAATAAAGCTAGATTGAACTCGTGCAATCTCTTGAACCCATACCACCTTCCGCTTTCGATTTGCACATCCGGGCCTAGCTCAACCAGTGTATACCTCAGCTTCCCGTCCCTCCACCTCCCCACCAGAAGCGGTTGAATAATTTTTCTAACGTGTCACAAACGCGTAAGGGGAGTAAGAAGGATGACATGGTAAAGATCGGGAGTGCCTGGGCTATACTTTTGAGAAGGACTTCCTTACCTGCACGGGATAGGAACTTGTACATCCATATGCCAATACGGGTTCGTACATTCTCCTCAATATACTTGAACGTAGGGGTGTCAAAGTGGACTGAAGCCCGCGGGTTAGCCCGCACCCGCCCCGCAATGGGGCGGGTTAGGGCCGCAAGAAATTAGGCTCGCGAAAATGCGGGCCTAACGGGCATGGTCCGCAGAGGGCCAGAGCCCGCGCGGGTTGCGGGCTGGCCCGCGGGCTAGACCATATTTAAAAAAAAAAAAATAATATATATAATATATATATATTTTTAAATCATATATATAAGATCTTAATTCTTAAGTAATGTGTAGATCTAACTATCTAAGAGTACACAGAAAGGGAGAAATCCAATAATTCAATAATCCTTCGTCAATTCTTAATTCAATAATTCTTAGAGTACGTAGTTCTTCGGTTCTCCCGTCTCCATCCGCCTCCAACTCTATCAAATAATTACTAAAACTAAATCATCAATTCATACATATTTATGAATTACTAAATCGCCTCCAAGTCAAGCAAACATACATATTTATATATGTATTATACACAGACGAGAATTGTAGAGGGAAAATCTGAAGCTGAGAGAGAAATCGAGTGTGCTGTTGAACCCTAGCTTTGATCACCCTTCTACAGTTCTGCTGAACGCGCGGTATCGATCAGGGATATTTGGGCGAGGTTTATGAATTTTATGGAAGTTTCCGGTGCCATATTTCAAGCGGTTTTAACATGTTTATATACTATTTAATGTTTTTTTTTTTTTTAAATTAAGTTATGGCCCGCGGGCCAGTCCGTGAGACTCGCAAGCCCGCATGGGGCGGGCTTGGGTTGTATAGTTCCAAGCCCGCGGGCTTCGCGGGCCGGCCCGCCAAATAAAAAGACCGCGGTGGGGCGGGCCTAATGAGGCGGGCCGGCCCGTATTGACACCCCTACTTGAACGTGGCAGTTTTGTTGCGCCCTAGGAAAGAGGGAAGGCCCAAGTAGCGCCCCAGATCGGTAGCTGCACGAACACCCATGTATTCGGAAACTGACGTTCTCACATCGGCTGACGTATTAAGACTGTACACTGCACTGGATTTCTCGTAATTAATAAGTTGACCTGAAGCCTGGCAGTATAAGTCTAAGCACTCCTTAATCCTCGTAGCTTCGTGCTGTGTAGCCCTGAAAAATAATAAGCTGTCATCAGCGAAGAAAAGGTGAGTGATAGCCGGGGCCCCCCGCGCTACCTTCACCCCGTGAATATCACCCCAACTCTCAGCTTGTTGCAATAGGATAGACAAGCCTTCAGCACACAGAATGAACAGATAAGGCGACAGTGGGTCACCTTGGCGTATACCCCGGGTGGGACACACCTGGCCCACAATCTCCCCATTTACAAGAATAGCATAACGCACCGTGGTAACACACAACATTATAAGCTCTGTCCACCTCCTGTCAAACCCCAACGCCCCCATCATACCTTCCAAAAAGGCCCACTCCATTCTTTCGTACGCTTTAGCCATGTCTAGCTTTAGCGCTACCCAACCCATAAGGCCCCCAGTTTTCCTCCGCAGAAAGTGTCCAATCTCGTTGGCTACTATAATATTATCAGTTAGCAAACGCTCGGGCACAAACGCACTCTGCGATTGTGACACCACTCGTTCCAGCCACCCCTTTAAACGATTGGCTAACATTTTAGCCAGCACTTTGTAGACAACGTTACAAAGTGCTATCGGTCTCGAATCAGCAACTTTCTCCGGGACCCTTTTTTTCGGGATGAGTACAATGTTTGACTCGTTTAGGCCCGACGGCAGGCATTTGGTTTCCACACAATTAATAATAAACATTGACAGATCATGCCCTATCACTGGCCAAAAGTGTTGAAAAAACGCCGGGGACAGCCCATCCGGTCCCGGGGCTTTTTTCAGGAGCCATGCCAAAAAGAGCGGTTTTCACATCCGTTATTGTGAACGGCTGTAATAATGAGGAATTCATTTCCTCTGTAACCCGTTGACGGACACTGCCAAATAAGTCCGGGCTATTTGCCCCGAAACAAAATATAGAATCGTAGTACCTGAGGATTTCCGCGTGCATCTCAGGCCCGGTTTGCCAGGCACCTGTTTGATCCTTGAGCCGGGTCAGTGTATTGCGCTTGCGACGCTCCGTTGCGGCTTTATGAAAATATTTCGTGTTAGCGTCCCCGTGGCGTAGCCAGAGCTGCTTGGACCTCTGCTTCCAGAAAATCTCTTCGGCCCGGCACAATGTATCCAACTCACCTTCAGTGGCTAAAAACTCCGCCACCCCCGTATCAGTTCGGTCCTCCTTCACTCTGGCTAATATTTGTCGTAGTTGCCGTATTCTGTTGCCGAAACGTCGATGATGCTCTCCGCCCCACCGCCATAGCCGCTCGCTACATACCGCGAGCCGTTCTTGAAAATTCTGCCCCGACGATATTCTCCAGGCTTCGCCAACTACTTTTGCGCAACCCTCCTCTAGGAGCCATGCTGATTCGAAACGGAACACCCGCAAGGCTGTGCGCACGGCTCTTGTCTCGATATCAACAAATATCGCACAGTGATCCGATTCATGCATATAAGTGTGACTGACCTGTGCATCATCATATATTTCCAGCCAGCTCGTCGTTGCTACCGCTCGGTCCAACCTCTCTTCCACCCATGCATCAGTTCCGCGGCCCTTTACCCAAGTAAAACGGCCTCCTGTCATCCCCATATCATTCAATTGGCAGTCTTTGAGCACATCATTAAAATCCTCCAATAGTGATGTCGGATGTGTATGATGTCCCCTTTTCTCTGATAGACAAGTGATGTCATTAAAGTCACCTACAACCATCCACGGCAGAAGTGAACGGTTCTTTAATTGGCGTAGGAGATTCCATGTAATGTGCCGGCGTGTTCTGTCCGGTTCTCCGTAGAAACACGTAAGCCTCCACACCGGTTTCCCCGGGATGGTGATTTCCGCGTACATTAAAACCTTCTAATTTAACCAAACACACTGAAAATATATTATTTTGTATACTATCAAATAATGTGCATTCAATACACAAATAATGTACTTTTAGTATATTAAAAATGCACATTATATTCAAGAAAAGTACATTATTTGAGTACTAAAATTACATTATTTTGTATAGTGTATATTCACTATACAAATAATGTAGTTTTAGTATATTAAAAAGAGTTAATACCAGTCGGGGTCCTCCGAGTATAGTGGCACTGCTACATTTAGTCTTAAACTTTCAATTTAGCCACCTGTGTTCCTTCAACTTTCAAATTTAATCATTCATGGTCCTTCAACTTTCAAGTTAACCACCCATGATCCTTCAATTTTATTTTTTAATCAACCATGGTCCTAACTTTGCGCTTACGTAAACTAAGGGAAGGACCACAAATTGTTAAATTTGAAGGACCACGTATGGTTAAATTAAAAGTTTAGGACTACACGTGGCGATGTCACTATACTCGGAGGACCCCAGCTAGTATTAACTCATATTAAAAAGGGAAAACTGTCAAATTGGCCCCCTAAGTCGAGTGGATAGTGCAATTGGGTCCTCTAAGTGAAAAAAGCTCCATTCAAGTCCTCTAAACCGGTAAAATTGTTCAATTAAGTTCAATATGACTTGTTTATCAGGTTAAATCGATATGGTGTTGACACGTGTCCTTATTATTTTATTTTTTAAAACAAATATTTTTTATTTATTAAAAAGTAAAAATCTGATTTATTATAAATTAATTAATTAAAATAATAAAAAATTAAAAAACTAAAAAAAAATAAAAAAGAACAGCCACTGGCTGTTTTTTTTTTGGTTTGTTTGTTTATTTTTTTTAATTATTATTATTTTAATTAATTAATTAATAATAAATAATATTTTTAATAAATAAAAAACATTTGTTTAAAAAAATAAAATAAGAACCGGTGGCTTGTGGTCCACTGGTATCGGATTGCTCCCTTATGTGGGAGGTTTAGGTTTCAAGCCTCAGTGTAGGCATAGGTTGTATGGGTATCCCCCTTCCTTTGTAATATAAAAAATAAAAAATAAAATAAGAAAGACACGTGTCAACACCATATCAATTTAACCTGTTAAACAAGTCATATTGGACTTAATTGAACAATTTTACCGGTTTAGGGGATTTGAATGAAGCCTTTTTCACTTAAGGGACTCAATTGCACTATCTACTTGACTTAGGGGACCAATTTGACACTTTCCCCTATTAAAAATATACTTTTTAATTGTCCATATAACACTGTGTGAATCATGGTCCACAATAATTTGCTACTAACTCCATGACGAATTTGCCCAATTTATTTGTGCAAAGGTCCAATAGAATTTGATATTACTCATGGACACCAAGAAACGGCCCAAGTCACTTGCCCAATCAATTAAGGCAGCCTAGACTGAAGGGAGAACTAAAATCGAACTGCTATGCCATGGACCTGTGTAAGGTGGATACGGGTCCAATACAACGTCGTTCTATAATTCGAAAGTAACGGTAATATTAGTGGTATTGTTTTTTCTCCATCAATTAGATTTTTTTTTAAAAAAAGATTGTCAAAAGAATTCAGCGACATCAAAAATTGTAAATACACTGTTATGTAACTGTGATTATAGAGTTCTGCAGTTGTGAATATAGAGTTGTGAAAATATTTTCCAATCCATTGGAACTTGACTTCCCAAAGTGAAGGAAAACAAAATCCTAGCAAAGGATTGGTATTTTGTTTTCCAAAGGATTTGGGAAGAAAGTATAACACAATTGAACTATTTTATCCTCATTAAAGTTTATTAATTACACACATATATATTATTGTTAAGGGCATATTAGTCTTTATATTCATAATTCCTTACGATTCTAAACTCAATCAAATAATGGAATTTATGTTCCCAATAATTTCTTTTCCACCAATCAAACAATGGAATATATTTTTCTGGTAATTTGTTTTCCATGAAATTTAAATTCCATTTCCATTCAAATATTTTTCAGCGAACCAAACGGACTGTAAAATCAGACATGTATTTAACTAAAAT